GAGCCAGCTGCAGCAGGTGGAGCAGCTCGGAACTGAACGAGGCGATGCTGCTGCTGGAGCAGTTCCTGCTGCCACCAGCCCACCATCCAAAGCTCTGACATCTGTTTCCGTAGCCACAGAGCCCATCAGTTCTCGAACAGCTTTTTGCCAAACAGACCTGCCCTCCACAGAGGTGGAGGGTCCCAAGAAGACCCCCCTTACTATACCTGTCAAACCATCGCCTGCCAACTATGTGGGCCTGAGCCTGCCAAAGTCTGGTCGTGGGCTCGTCCACAGCAGCTCGGGAGGACTGGCACAGACCGAGAATGGCTCCGAGGGCCAAGCCGCCCCACACAACTTTCCTAGTGGGGTCAGCCCCCGTGTCCAGGCAGCCCGCTACAAGTTCCAGGAACAGGACCAAAATGGCACAGCGTCCCAGAGTCCTCCGGCCCGTGACCTCTCCCCTACCAACCGTGACAACTTTGCCGCCAAGCAGCAAGCCCGTCACACTGTCACACAGGTCCTTTCACGCTTCACTAGCCCTCCAGCAGGTGGCGCTGGACCCCTTCGTCCAGGCCTGCCCCATTCTGCTTCAGAGGGAGGCCCCTTTCCCGGCCGTCTGAGCCATCCCATTGGCCTCAAGTCGCCCACGGTAGCCAGGATTGACCGGGGAAACCCTCCCCCTATTCCTCCCAAAAAGCCAGGGCTTTCCCAGACCCCCTCTCCTCCTCATCCACCCATCAAGGTGCAGCCGCTCTCCCGGGGCTGGGCTAAAACAAGCCACGCCCCAGCTGCCACCAAAACCCGCCCTGGATCTGGTCCCAGCCTTGGCGGCCTCTCAGGTGGGTGCCTGCCCCCATTCCGGCTCCCTGGGGTCTGGCCGGCAGCCGGCAGCAGCATGTGCAGACTGCCCCTCAGTCATCAGCCCTGCCACCACTGTCAGTAGCCCCTCCTCCATATATCCCCCCTCCATCTTCTCCTCCATTAGTGCTCCATCCTCCCATAGCCCCTGCGCCTCAGCAGGCAGCCCCCTGGCAACAGCATCAGGTAAAGGGGCTCCTCCATGCTCCATCTCCTTCAAGTTCTCCCCACTGCTTCTGTTCTTCGACTGTCTTTCCACAGTCCTAGCATAGCTTAGCATAATGATAAGGTCACAGGGAAACTGGTCTAACCACAGGAATGAAGAGCACATGGGTCAGTTCAGACTCTTCCCTCAAACCTAAATTACCTCACAAGATCCAGTGTCTCTCACTGCATTTTCTCTCTACTCATCTCTCTTTCTCTAACCTTAATTTGTCCTCCCTCTGGAGACCTTTTGTCTCCCATGTTGTCACGTTAGCCATCTGAGTATCAGTATAAGCAGCGGACTCTGAGGGCATGTCGCTAACATGTGCCTGAATGTTGCTCAGAGACTAGGGATTAGCTCTCCCCCAGCAGCAGGAGCATCTTAGGGTGAGCTGTATTCAAACTGGTTCGTAGGCCTTCCTACCAGTAACCCCTGTCCTCTCTGAAGCTGATGCCAGAGGCTGCTCTCTCCTTCCCTTCCCCTTTTCCATCCTCTAGTAGCATGCCATGACCTTCCGCTGCCTGCACTGAACCTGTTTTAATCACAGCTTCCCTTAACTCGTCCCGCTGTCCTCTGTATGGGATTTAGTCGTTTTGATATGTGTTATCTTATACTTTCATCTTGTGACGTGCTCTTACAGCTATGCTTGGTTGTACTGTGTTACAAATGGGGTATTATTTCCAAAGTTTGGATGCCTAGCCTTGTGATCACCCACTGTTCAGGTAGTTAATTCTTTGGATCAGGGGCCATGTTGACTTCAGCCAGGTGGAAAGGGAAGCATGAGCAAACCCCAAACAGACGTTATTACCCAGACTGCTCCATCACAGCTTACAGAGTAACTTCTTGGTTACATTTTAAACCAACCTTACTGTAGTTGTCCAGCCAGCTTTCCTGTGCAGAGAGCGTTTGTCACCAGCATTTCACTGTACTCACTTTCAGTTTTATCACCTGATAAAACTCATTGTGACAGTTTGTTGGTAATGTTGCTGTGTTCCCAGTTACAATATTTGAAGGAAAGTAAGACGTAATGGTGAATGTAAATATGGTTTTAAAAAATTAGCATTTATGAGAGTGCCATTTACGTGCATAGCTTCTCTTATCTATTCATGTAAATTTGCCAGGAACAGAAGACCTAAAATGACTTAAAACATTTCACTGAGAATGTGGCACTCCATTGAAACGTGCACTGAAAACACTCCACAGATGTGCAGATGTAGCCATCAAGTGTTATTTGCTGACATTTTAAAGGCCTCTGGTATCTTTGTTACTGCACACTGATCATTAGGAAAATGCCAGCGCTACCGGCCTTTTAGATTCATTGCCTTCAATTACAACATCTCCCACATACAAATCTGATAAAACTGTGGAGCACTTTGGGAAACTTCTGCTACTTGGCAGTCATATTTACCATTATTTTGCAGATATGCTTTTCTAGCTTTTATACCTTTCTACACCACCAACCACTCAGGTAGAAAGTGCAAGCATAATAGCTGCCAAAGTCCATGTCCCCTAGATTCTGTGCTGCACCTTTTCTTTATTCTCTTCATGTTCTGAGACAAAATTCTTCATTCTGCCTTTTTCTGACTCCTCTGTATTCTTCCCAGAAGGTAGCACCTACAGCCTTTAGCATCTCTCAGCAGACCCAGACCTGTAGTGTGCAGTTCTAGCAGTTAGAGATTAGGTCTTGTTTTGGTTCTTTGCTTTGTCTGTTTGTCTGTCTGTTGTGCTAAGTCATTTAAAATAATGCTGTATGATTGTCACAGTAAATGGTGTGTTTGTGCAAAGGTGAATGCTCTCCCTCATCTAGCTGTTAAAGTGGCAGACTCTTTTGTCCACGCTGCAGCATTTTGGTTCACTTAGATGTTTTGTTAGAGGTTTGTGTCGTCTGAAAAACTCCTGGAAAATTTTTGAATTTCTGTTGCATGTTCCAGGGCAAGGAGATGATCGACGGTGCATAATCCAAGGTTCAGAAATATGTAGATAATAAATACAAATGATCTCCTACCACAGTGTTTCTGAAGATTAATGATCAAGAAATAATAAAGCACATTTAACTGTGTAGCACTACAGCTTTATGCCAACTGAATTTTCATGCCTTTTCCTGAAGAAGAAATTTAACCCCTTGAGCTCTGTCAGACCCCATGGATTCTTTTTTACAAGCTTGTGTTCGGCAAGACATTGTTCAAACGAGATTATTGAGATTATTTAACTGATAAAGTGTGTGTAGACTTAAAACTACAGTTTTCCTAGATTAGCTCCAGCAAAGGCTGAAATTGAACCCTGTGGTATGTTGCGCTACCTGTTGACCTGTGATTCTGCCATAATGCTGCTGCTTGTTTGTAACATGAGATTTAGCTACGGATGGCTTCAGGCTACAGCAACAAGCCAGTGTTACTGGCTGCTTCTTTTATTTAGAGGTTTATTGTTTGATTTCTGTGGTACTCTGGTGCCTGATTTCATACGTCCATTCGTCCATGTTTCACATTATCATTTACTTTTTGTTGACAAAAAATGTAAAACATTTCTTTTTAGTTCTTGTTATCAAACGTTACTTTTACTTAGTTTTGTTTTTGCTTTTGTCCTGAAAATTAGATTGTAAGCAAATAGTCATAGTTTTTAACTAAATTAACATGGATTACTTACTAACTAAATAAATAAATGGGTTGAACAATGTTTTGTGCACAACAGCTTGTCAACAAGCTGCTGTCCGCTGGGGCTGATACAACCACTGCTCCTGTTTTTACCTCAAATGTTTACTTAACTGCAACTGCTGCTCAGACAAAAGAGACTGTACTGCAGTGTGTGTGGAACTGAAGTGTGCTTTCCTTCCCTTCCGACCCTTTACACCCTTCCTCTCCCACACTTAGCACTTCTAGTTGCTTCCTCCTCCTCCCGTTCTTCCTCCTCCTAGTTTAACCTGTCCTGCTCCTGCTCCTCCTCCCTCCTGCAGGCCGGTGTCCCTCCATAGCCTCCTCTCTAGGCAGCGGTGGGCCTGCTGCCCTGGACGGTGGGCGCCCCCTGCTCCTCCAAGCTGCTTCCCAGGGAAATGTCACTTTATTGTCAATGCTGCTTAACCAACCTGACTCGACCACCAGTACCACCACATCTACCACCAACATCACTGCCATGGAGAACAAACCTGATCACCTTGTCCAAGACCACCTGCTCTATCACAACCACAACCAAACCTCTGCCTTGTTTGCTGCTGCTCAGAATGGACACACAGGTAACTGGTGAAAGGCACTGCAAGTCCTGGTTCTGGTTCCTGTACAGGCAGACATATGAACCATTGTTCTTATCAAAATATTGACTATAGCATCTTTAAATCACAATTTACAGGTACCAGCAAGTCTTGGTTATCTTGCATTCTCACCTGTAAATGTTGAAAGCACACTGTTTTGTAATTCTATTTGTGTAGTGACAGAATTATAAAGTACAGTATGTTTTTAAACTTTCACTTGATCACTTATATTTCAGTCAATAGAGGTGCAACATTTAGCTTGATTAGAAGAATCAAACATCTTTTCCCTCAGAAAATGGGCTCGTAGCTGCAAAATCGAATTAGCTGGTATGTGACTGAGACTTGTTTTGATTTCTTGTGCAGTCTAATGGTGAAGTTGTTAAAATGATTTGTCAAGCTAACCCCCAAAGAGCCGGCGTAGTGAGAGGACAAAGATGTGGTGCTAATGAACATGCTACCCGCACTGTTGTAAAGGCTGTATTTGCATGAGCTGCGGATGATCTCATTATATTGTCTGCCATTACAGGAGATGGGGTGTTGTGTCAGGGCTGTAACCTCACTGCAGATGTCGACTGCATGCTCGTTTAGCTGACACATGTATGCACACAGAAAATTGCCCTAGGCATGCAGTTACATACACATACCCAGGCACACTGTGTGTTGTCGGGACTTTACAATGACCTACATTCATTTCCTGTAGACTTATCTTAACCCTTAACCATAACCTCTACTTGCCTAATCCTGACCCGAACCTTAAACCATGTTTCCACCCTAAAATTCTGTGATTTACACAGTTGGAACCAGCCTCTGTGCCCCACAAGGAAGGCCGAGTCCCCACAGTGTGAGCATGTTAATGTCCCCATAATATAATATAAGTAATACCAAGGGCACACAGAGTAATGAATGCATGTGAACCCATGTCACACACACCCACACAGGGCAGGTCTATCAGGATATGCCTCCTTGCTGGAATCTATGGTAACACTGTCAGTTGAGGTGCTGATGCATGAACATGACTAATGCACCTGAAGGACAGCTGTGCTGAAAGGTGGGTCAACACACACCTTAGTCCTCTGCCCATCACTGTTTCATTGTCCTTTGCTTTTCCTGATCCAGTCAGTTGTGCACTTTTTTTGCTGTTTCCATAAACTAAATTTCCAGACATGCTTAAAATCCATGTGAAAATATGAAAGACCACAGAGCTTCCCATAATGACAGAGTAATACATTTCCCTCAGCAAAGAGAAAACCAGGCTGTTTTTACTGAGACTTGATGTACAGTTTTTCTGCAGGGCCCTCGGTACCTGATGTGCACTGCAGTGATCGTGTTGCGTGCATTGATGCGTGGAATATGTGCAACTGTTTTGCATCACATGCACTAGAGTGAGCTTCAGTTCCCGCCCCAAAGCTCTTTTTACCTCTGTTCAACGTTCAGTGTAATTTCTCATCAGTCCTGAAAAGCTGGAACACTTTGTAACTCTACTATAGTCCCGAGGAGTAAAGTATGAATCATTTTTCATTTTAACAAAGCTAGAAGACCACTCCTGTGGCCAAGGCTCATGGGCAATGTAGTAGCATAGTCTTTAAAATGAGGATGTGCTGACATGCTGCTGCCCAGCCTCTTGTTTATTGGGCAGAAAACAATCAGCTCTGTATCAGGTTTCATTTGTTTCCCAACAAATGCTCAGAGAAACCTGTCTGCCTGAGGCTATAGAAGCCTGAAGTGAAAATGTTGTTCATTACTGGCAGCATATGCTACCAACTAATTCATAAAAAGCTCTCTTTCATAAACTGGCTGATTTCACTTGCTACACTACCAACAGTATCCATGGCAGCAAGACTCTGTGGTTACTATGCCTTGTACAGTAGTACAGCCGTTTCATTTTGTTGCTCTGCCGGTTCACACTGACACAGGTCTTCTGCCATGTTTCACTGTGTGCCGCAGTGGGCTAGCACATTATCATCTCACTCTCTCTGTCCTCTCTCTGTCAGAGTGTGTGAAGCTGCTGCTGTCTTCGGGATCGCCTGCTGATGTTCCGGATGAAAATGGATTCACACCTTTACACGTTGCTGCTGCCCACGGCCACAGCAGGTGAGCTTGTACAGGTCTTCCCCTTGTACTCTAGGTCCTGCATCCTGAGCCGCCACATGTATGCTCGTGGTGGTTTTTAGCAGTTGTGATGGCACTGTACTGACGTCCAGTCATTCCCCGAGGTCTCACCCTAATGCTAACCAACCCCAATGTTAATATAACCGTTTAAACTGGCACTGTAACAGTTAATTTTTGTGCATTATTTGGTTAATTATTTAGTCTCTAATATGTCAGAATTGTCAAAAAAAATTGTCAGTTGCAAGTTCCAGAGCCTGTGATGTTCTTGAGCGGGTATGGAGCATGCCCGGCCGACACTGGGTGAACACCTGGATTAGTCGCCAGTCTATCACAGGGCTGACACTTAGACAACTGCTCACATTCACACCTCACCTGCATGTCTTTGGACTCCACACAAAAAGGCCTGGTAGCTGTGAGATTTGACCCTAGAGCCTAATTCCTCTGAGGCAGCAGTGCCAACCACCGTGCCCTAATTCACAATGATAAAATATAATATTTAAATTAGAGAAGGTGGAACCCGTAAACATTTGGCATCAAAAAAAAAAAAAAAAAAAGACATGGTTATTCATCAAAATGTTTTGTGTCATTTTATCATCGGATAATAAGCTAATTCTATCTTTAAAATCAAGTCAAGGTGACCTTGTGAGGCCACTCAGTTTTTAAATGCCCTCAAACTGTTCTTGACTCTCATTGTTGTTGCTTGACCCCTCTCGTTTAGTGTAAGACATTAGCTCCTGAAATTACCACATCAGTGTTGGTGATTCTTACAGTATCTTGTCTGTTATTGATGACTCATTGTACATATTTTGCTTTGAGACGAGCACAGCTGGAACCACCCATGTGTGAAGTAAGATTCATAGGTTGATGTTGGTAACCACGGTGGGCTTCTGTGCTACGAGCAGTCACCACTCCAGCTGTAGCCGAGCATCGGTGGCGCTGTGGTCCCAGGTGGACACTAGCTCAGCATCATGAAGACGTATGGGAGATTTTCCACAGCTAAAATAAA